GGAGCAGGACGGGGCTCCCCCGCGGCGGGGAGCGAGGCAGCGGCACCGCTGCAGACCGTCGCCGAGGCCCTTACCCAAAAAGGACTTCCTCCACCGTTTGTGACGCGCTGCAGGAGGAGAATCCTGCCGCATCCAGGACTTGCGGTAGGTATAAAGCGAGCTTGTACAGATACCTAAAGAATTCGTGTAGATGAAACACATGGAAATGATTTATTTTTGAAAAGTAAATGAAAAGTAAAATACTCACAAAGAACAGTATTATAAATCCTGTAAAAAAGGGGGGAGAAATGCAGTAAGGTACCGTGGTGTATTTTCTTGTGAAGGGTTACAGGTTTTGCAAAATGTAGCCATTCTGTGCTTTAACACAAGTGAAAATAAATATATTTGTTTTGGCTTTACACTTAAACAAACTCATGCAACTTCTATTTACACATGCACACACCTGACCTTCCTACCCCTTAAAGCAGGGTGTGCTTTCACGCCCCGAAAATCCTAATGAGTAATAATTTCTAACCCGTTCCTACGCCTTTACTAGAAACAGGGTCCTGAATGAAAAACCGTATGAGCAAAAGATCTACTTTGTGCACCAACATACAACATTAGTCCTTCTTCGACATTCCTCGTGTGCTACGAATACTGTGTTGCAGATAAATATATATGTATTTCTGCACAACAATTAAAATGGACACGAAAAAGAGAGGAAGTAATAACAGTTTTCTCATGGCAACATAGCAGCTCAGCCTGAGCTCTCCAGCAGAAAGGTAAAGGCTGTATTTCCTCAGCAACCCGCAACGCGTCAGCGGCTGCCAGCCCAGCTCGCCCTCTGTATGCCGTGCCACCGCAGCGCTTCGCGGTGCCCCCTTCCGAAGGGCCCTCCCAGCCTACAGGTATTTATTTTACCCTATTCCTGCTCAGTAATTTTAATCATCGTCGTTATTATTTATACGTACAACCGTCCCAAGAAGCAGGCAGAGAAGAGCTGGATTGCTTAAGGCATTCAAGCATTTGGTCTTTTGGCACAGGCTAGTGCTGAGCTGGCATTACGCAGAGGGTACGGATTATGCAAGGAAATATGCAAGGATCAAGGCAGAAATTTCTTTCATATCTTTACCAAAACAGACTTCCAAAGCCAGTGCGAAAGACCCAGATTACTGTCAACAACACCCATCATACACACACCCGATAGCTTCTGCACCGAGACTGTGACATAAAATGACGCTGGCTGGCGTTTGAGGTTAAACGTGCCCCAAATCTATTGCTGCTGGACGCCTGCGGGATGCGTGCGTTTGTCCCCGGGCGCACAGCTGGTGCCCCAACGACAGGATTTGAGCCTCTCACAGACCTGCGAGGTCCAGCTGTGGCACCCAGCAAAAAAATAAGCGCAGCCCGTGCCTCCCGCTGAGCACCTGGCTGCTGCCTCTCTCACTGCTCGCGCTGGGAACCTGCCCGCCCGACGGCAGCGCGAAGCACGCCCGCGTTGGCGGCCGACAACAGAACGGTTTGCCTGCGTTGTGTCATAGCGCCGGTGAAAAATTAGTCATAACCTAAGCCATTTATTCATACGTACTTATTCCCTTATTTTTAAGTCTATTATTTTGGACACCTTTCAGTGAGACGATGAGGGCAGACCCTGCAACCGGATGGATTCGTAACATTCTGGCTGCAAAAATGGGCCCACGCTGCAGTTCCTGCAAGGTGAGCTTCTCCCTCAGAAAAAGTAGCCCTGGTGTGTATCTGTAACAGAAGCTTTCCACCAGCTGCTCAAAAGACTGCACGAGAGGAAAAGCTGGCGCTAAAGCTGCATTGCTGCTAAACCACCTGCGGCCAGGATTAGAACCAGATTATAATGTTGTTTTATGGGCTTCCGCAGTCATTGTTCATCCAAAGATCCCCACGTGCTTTGCACCTACGTGGCTGGAGGAATGCTCCGAGGTATGGAGGGGCACGTTGCAAGAGGCACATATGGGGGCCATCCACCTCCTCGCCACCGATGCTGTGGATGCAGGAAGAAACCGCTGCCGGGAGCCACTTACCTGCAGGCCGTGTGGAAGGAGATGCAAGACAGCAGGAGCGCATTAGGTTGGTGCTCCACTAGTAAACCGAAATTACTCTTCAACCCCGGCCATTCAGAAATTCCTACATGAAGACTATATGTCCAGGTTCTGTGTAATGGGGACAGAGGTTACATTACAAGTTCAGCTGGCCAAGAATGGGATCTATTTATGAAACTCCACTTTGCCCTTTGTCCCTTTATTGTGGAAAAACAGTGACGAGTATTTGGTCAGCTCTAAATCAGAGACTTGAAGAGCTCCTAACGCCAAGGAGCTGCAGCAGTGAACTAACCCCCTGAGAGCACCACTCCCGGGGGTGCGTTAGGCATAACAAGGCTCCACTAATATTAAAGGAAAAACTAACATTGATTTCAGGGGAGCTTAGATTTTAGAGTGAGCTATGCATGTCATTCATGAGCTCAAGATGTGATACTCGGCCACTGTGAAAACAGGAATTCTCATTTCAGGTGTTTATCTAAAGAATTCAAAGCTTGGGATTTTGGTGTTGAAAGCCTTGCAATCAGTCCTCACTGATGACTGTGCCTCACAACATGATTTATTGCACCCAAACTCATGGGCATGCTTTGGTTCCAAAACAGTGATGCTACCTAAAGAGTGGTTCATTTGCGTGGAAGGCAACTTTCTCCCTTAAACGATTCTCAGGCATCACCCTTTTCCTATCTCAGCAAGCATATCCTCTCCATCGCCTCCCTTATTTACCATCGACCTCAGTGTGCATGTATGGGGGTGTAGTATAGATGCAAACAGTACTCAAATACATCCTTGAAAATCATATTCTTGCCTCAAGATGGAGAAATATATGGGTAACACAAAGCCCAGATGGAGGCTGCGAGTTTAAAGGTGTAAAATAAACTGTAGGAGGGAGTGTACGGCCCTCAAGGATTTTATGTGGCAGACACTTCACTTAAGTCTGCGGAAAGATAGGCTTTTAAACTATTTATATTTGTAAGATTGTTTTATTTCGGAAAAGGGATATTTTTAAAATACAAGACTTACCTGTGGTACCTGTATTATTCTAAAATGCAGCTAAACTCCTAAAAAAGCTCAGGAACTGGCAGAATCTGCTGCGTAAGTCATGCTGTGCACTTCTGCTCTCTAGCTTCCTCATAACCTGACCTATGCCCAACAGCACAGGAATGACTTTGATTAATGAGTAGTAGATAGGAAGAGTATCTTAACAGACTCTGCACATACTGGTAAATCGGAGCATTGCCAATATATAACTGCTGATGCAACCTCATACGTGTCCATCTCAGGCCAGCTATATTCTAGATCTACTACTCTGTGGATAGGTCTTGTCAGGCCTTTATATTCCTTGCAAATAAATGACCAAGCTGCTGTCTGGAAGAACCCACCAAAGGGATGAAGGTGTAAAAGGAGAATAGAACGGCTACATAATAGGAAATAATGTGCAGGCAAAAGTTAACCTGGATAATCTTTCTTACTACTGTGAGATAAGAGACTTCCCTCCATGGTGGCCACTTTTTTCTCTCTCTTGATAAGATCCACTGTCTAAAACTTGGCATAAATCCCTGTTCAGATCTGGCAAAGGCGATGAGTATCTCTACAGGGAGGGAAAACACATCTGGGGGAAGGAGTCAGCTTGCCCATTTGAAAGAAATAATAGAATATCGTCAGTGCTGGTGAAGCTGAAGGATTCTTGTTATGGAGACTTTCTCTAGGCTGCTTCTTTGTGGCAATTTCTGAAGGTTCACCTAAGCTCTCCTCCTCTCCTGCAAGCCATTCAGCCCGTCCCTCCTCCTGCTCCTCTCCTCTACAGCTCTGGGCACGGGGTGCTTCAGGGACGCCTCGGGCTCCTGCGCCTCCCGTTCAGGAGAAGCCACTGTAGGACAAAGGAAATGCTTAAGAACAAGGGAAAGGCCTGAGAACAAGGGAAATTCGTAAGACAAGGGGCAACAGGAGGGAACAGGTACAAAAATCAAAGCACAGAACCAGGGCGAAGGGAAAGCTGTCTGGCAAGCCCTACACCTCCTCCAAGCCACTACTTTCCCTTCTTTCTGAATATTCAATAAAACAGCGGTCTGCCTAGCACTCTTCCATGGCCTGCAACATAACCGCTGGCAGAAACACTGCTTCCAGTCTATTTATTTACTTACTTTTTAATATGTATTTTTGTTTTCATATTTTGCTGCTGATACAACTGTTTTTTCTATCAGCACATCAGTTCCATTTAAAATACCCCAGATAGGGACACCTACAACTATTTTTACTTGAATACATGTACACACTTATGTATATATTATATACATATAGGCATTATATATGTGTCTACATATGTATATATATAAGGCACTGTAAAATGTACCATCACTGCTCTAGGACTGTGTTTAATCTGTAGAATTAGATCGTATTTCTTCATATAATTTGAAATGTCTAACCAAGACGTTTTTAAAATGTCTCAAGATTACAAGACATCAGCTATGAAATAAGCCTTATTTGAAAACTCAAGTTATTGTGACAAGATGAACAAAACCTATTTTGACAGTAATTCTAACCCATTTAGTACACAATTGCTCCTCTTTTTAAAGTTACATTCACCTGTATAGCTTCCTTTGTCTCCCCTTGTTATGTTTGAAAATGTGAACAGAAACTTGCCCTGCAGAAAAAAAAAATAATGCGGAGAAATGAATATAAACTTGGATAATTTATCTGTTCCTTAGAGAGGGGAAAACCAAGATCTCTGTAGACCAAGATGTATTTAAATAAAATGTACTTAAACAGATCATGAGCTTATATAATTCTGTGTGATTTAACCGATGTCAACGGAGCCCTCGTGATTAAGTTTTTGGCCATTTCTAATATAGGAGGTAGTCTCTGCCGTGTAAAGACACTACAGCACACAGATACGACTGGCATTTATCACGAACGTGCCTGAAGGAAATCTCGCTCGGGGTAACCAGCCTGTGCACGCACATCACGGCTTCCAAGCCTGCAGCAGCTGCTGCTAGGAGGGGTTGGCAGCTGTGGGAGTTATAAGCCAGTCTTACAGATCAAGCGGACATATTTCCACAGACTAGAAACAAATGGAGAGATAAAGATAGTTAGACAGACCAGAAAGCGTACATCTTCGGGATCTATAAATCCAGATATCCTGGACAGAACATTTCAACGAATACCAGCATAACACTGTGATAACTCCCGGCTGTGCTGGACCATGGGATCCCTATTAACCCCTACATTTTTTTGCAGAACTATTCACCTTTGGCTGCTGATTTTAATAAAAAGTGCCATAGAAAACATCGTTTAATGTGGTTCCATGGACCACTTACCATGGCCTCACAACTGCAAGCCACTGATCACAAATTGGAACCTCTCTTTTAAAGGTCTCGCTTATTTTCTACTATACCAAAAGCACCTATGAGACTTAAAATACAACCATGTCTTACATTTCAACCCCTCTAGGATTTGCATCAGAATTGGCCTTTCCCGCTCTACTGTTTCAGTTCAGGTTTTGCACACGCGGAAGTGAGAAGGGGCAGAACACCAGGCACCGTCTCGACGCACGACTGCATCCGAGGCGTCAGGGAAACCAGACACTCCCAAATACTGAAGTGACTCAAAGGTTTAAAAAATATATATGTATTACGAGAGCCACAAAAAAAGGTTACAGACAGAGCTCCACAAAGCCTGCACAGATACATTCCAACAATTCAAGGTGGCAGAACAGGTGAAATACAGACCATAAAAACGGTTTGACATTAACTTTCCAAGCTGTCTGAGAGACAGTGACCTTGACCCCGTCTTTCCCACATGAAAAAGAATACTGAATATATATATATGTATATATATATTCATATACATACATATATATAGTCCGGATCACAAATACAGTCCAAAGAAAACCACATTGCAATTTCCACATTAGGCTTATAGTAGAATATGCATCATCTGAGAAATGTCCATTATAACGCCCATGAGGTGATTATCTTAGGCCAAGTTGACATAACATAACACTTGGTTAGCATTTTTAGAACAGCAACACAACACAGGTCATTCACTGCACATGGCTACTAACATATAGCTCTGTGCAGCCCTTAGAGCTGACTTTAACCAAACTAAGTAATTACACTTGTTTTGTTCTTTTCTTAATTCAAAAAGAAAATGCAAAGGTAAGATATTTGGGCAGTTCCTGGTATCACCTTTCTTAAAAAATTCAAGACTTGAAGACTTCTTTACTATACTTGCTTACAGACACATCTTTGAGATTGAATCAACGATCTTCAGGAAAATATGCCACCCTGAGGCTTTTTCCCGTGTTCACTTCAGGTTATGTCTGCATCCAGTTTTGACATAGGGGGCCAAATGCTGGTTGTATGTCACTGCAGTATTTGGCCCAGTTTCAAAGTCATTGCTATTCAGACTTTCCTATGAGGTCAACAAAGTAGTAAAAAAAGAAAATATTAAGGCTTCAAGTAAAAATATTTCCTCTCTGTCCCACCCATGTAGTAAAGTACATTTAATTTCATAATACTCAATATATTACACAACTAAAGATACAGAGCTCCAACTTTTCAAAGCAGATTGTACTACAGTGAAAACCTGGAGGCTAAATGGGAGTGTATGAACAGGGAATGAACGGCTAATAAAATGCGATATGCAATGAAAAATGATGCATAAGCTAAACAAAAGCTATTGCTGTTTTTTAAATAAGTAATACAATCCACAGCTAAAAATAAAAACACGTTGAAAAGATTTAAGACTTCTGAAACATGAAATAAACATGACAAAAATAAAGAAGCTACTTTACAAGATGTGTTAACTTGCACTAGATTTTCATGCCTGATCTCCACCCACTGTAAATTAGCATCGCCTAAACCAGCTTTGATGGAGCCGCACCAGTTTACACCAGCTGAAGATTTGGCCTGTAGTGTCTGTAAAAACTGAGACTTTCTGGGTAGAAAAAGAACTTTGCTGCTAGTCTATAAACTGCTTGAAGAACTATACTTGAACATAGGCCAGATTGTGCTCCAAAGTTCGAAGCAGCAGACAAGTCCCCAGGCCCGCAACGGGAGCGATGGAAGCAGACACTTACACTTACGAGAATCCAGCTGGAGGTTCAGGGCCTGAGATGGAAATGAGGCTGGATTTGCTGCATGCAATCTCCTGTTAACAGCTCCGCTTAGATTTTTCTGTCAGAAGATTTGAATAATTTACTCTAGGCTGTGTGCACTGAATTATATGCAAACCTCAAAGGAAAAAAAAAAAGGCTTTGGTACCATTGTAAACCTATTACCATATCGGATGCGTTTCAAACTGTGGGCAAAACTACTCACAAAATATATAATTCTTGCATCTGAACCTGTAATGACACAGTGCATTCATTTCTTCCTCCCCTGCCCCTTGTGAACTATGTCAAAACAACCCTGGATATTAGTGCTTTATACACACAGTACTGTGTTTAGTCTTACTGAGAAATTCTTTCATGAACTACCGTAGTTAACTTCAAAGGCTGTTTGCCCCTTCAAGTTCTTCAGTAGCTTTTTCTTTTATAACTGCAGGAGAAAGAAAGCTCAAAGTGGAGCATCACTGGGATGCAAATCTCAAATATTACATTGGTGCAAATTTTTAGTCTCGCTTGCATGAATTTCATGTACGCGTTCAAAGACACATGATAAAACGTGCCCTTGTCTGGACCGCTAGCCAGAATTCAGTATGTCACTTACTCCCTCTTTTAGAGGGCTGAGATATGGCATACATGATACTTTAAGAACAGGCAAGTCTTGTGTTACTCTACGCACCAGAGAGAATTCCAGTCCTTGAAGAAGTACTGCACCTTCCTGAGGAGTTCACGTCAGGGTGGAGTTGCAGATTAATAACAGTTAAAGATGGAAGAAAACTATAAGGCCATTCGGTCTAGCCCCTTGCCCCTGCAAGCTTACCTCTTCCTGAAAAATTGTTAATGATTTGCCCAAATATAGTCCAACTGTCCTAAATAGTTAGTCTCCAATACTCTGCCTTGGAAGACTCTTCTACTGCCTTTTCCCCTCCTAGGTGCAATATTTTTCCCCCTTTCTAAATGTAGCCCATCTGTAATCAGTGACAACCATTTGATTTTCCTTTGGTTTTACATCTTTTAACTAAAATTATACTCATTTTCCACTTCATTGCTTAGCCAGTGATATCTTTTTAGCCCTTTAAATCTTCTGTAAATCTTCTCATAAATCAGCCTGTCCAGTCTTTTAATATACATTGCTCCCTCTGTACCTGATCGAGCTTGCCAGCATCTTTGAGCAGCATCTTTCTGCTCCTATCATGTCTCTAACTATAGACAATATTCCACATGCAAGTGAACGGCTCTGCCTACTGCAATGTCCCCACAGTAGGCATTTTAAAACTGCCAAGGCCACAAAATGCACACTGATTTCAGGCTGACTCTCTCATAACTATTGGCCCAATTCAGCTGCACTGCTTTCCAGGTTTCTCCCTTTAGACAGTGTCGAGAATTACACAGACAGAGGATTAACTTCCTTATGTTCTCTACAACCTTCCTTCCCAAAAATGATGTCATGTATACGGGACATAACAAGCCGATATTGCAGCAGATGTCAAGATTTATCGCATCAAAAGGTAAACCAGGGAAAACTGAGGTCAATATTTGCCTTCTGGTATAATTAATCTCGTCACTCATGAAAACAAGTAAGATATTACCAATACGTTCTGAATTGCTACCTAGTATCTGGAGATGTCTCCATCACAGTCAAGGACTGAAAAGGATTCAACACTTTGAAACAAATATCCTGAAAAATGATGAATTTAACTCTCTGGTAAAGACCATTCACTAGAAGAACCAGGTGGGAAGCAGAGGTTTCATATGCTAACTGGCTCAGTGATAAGTAATCATTTTAACTGACTTTGGCAACAGTCGCTCAGGATGTTCTTAATTGCACACATGGTCTGGTTAGTTATTGTTAGTCCAGATCTCAGTACTATTGATTTCTGAGGTGATAAGTAATTGGAAAGGAAAAAGACATGGGTTGTGGAGAAAAGAAAAAAATACATTTGTCCCAAAATTAGCTTTACCAGAGTTTTGATATCTGCAGTAAAACTTATGTAGCTCTCTTGTTTTTTATAATAGTTGCCTTCAAATCCAACACAGTAAATGCAGCTTTCTGGAGACGGGAAAAAAAACCTCAGAGTGTTAAATAGATTTGATTGATTTTTTTTTTAAAAAGTTGTTCCCTGGGGGGAAAAAAAACACCTTTGCCTAACAGTATCGAAGACCAGAGGGAATGTGCTAGTCATTAGGCAGGCAGCAAATTTATATCCTCTAGACATATGCTTGGCTCAGTTACACACACTGTAAATTCAACAGATCATGACAACCTTGCGGCAGGATTACACGCACAGCACCGGGGCAAGGCAGTAAACTACGTTATTGCCTAAATCCAATAGGTAATAAGGAGGGTGCGGGGGAAAAGCAGCTTGACGGCTGTTGCAAATATGTTCCCATCCAAACATTTCATTTCTTATCCGCTTGGTTTTGTTTCGGAGTCAGAGAAGCCTTTGAAACCCAGAGGGAGCAAGAGGTGGGAATGGAAGATCCTTACTGGCGTCGGGGTCCTTGTCCGTGGGTGTGTGTGGCAGGCCGGGGCTGGTAGCGAGAGCCCACTGCTGGATTTTCTCCTGCTCCCTTTCAAACACGGCACGATGTTTCTGGCCCTGGGTGCGCAGCGGTTCTCATCGGCGTGGGCTGCGCAGGAGCTGGGTCTCCGCATCTGCAGGAAAGTAGCGGTCGAGCCCGTGACTCTTTCCAGACAGGCCAACAGAATTGGGGAGGGTGGAGAAGAGGTGAGAGAAACATAGATCCCAGATTAACCAGACTCTTTCACAGCACAACTGGCACACGACAGGTCGGTCTGACAGATAGGACACCCCATGGCTTTATCACTCTTGCATGAAAGAGATCCGCTCAGTGGTCGTGGTGGCCGGTGGTCGCCAGGTCCTGCCTGTCCATTCGGGAAGAGTCTGATGGACTGTACAGTTTCCTTCCCGCAAGAATAAGGCTGCAGCTGGGTTTTGGCCAAAACAGAAAGATGGAAACAAAACAAACCCAGATCAAGGAAAGGAGAGTGGCCGGCTGCTGCTGCTCCTTCTTTGTTGTTATTTGAGTCTTCACAGTGCTCCTAGCTTCATGGCTGGCTGAGTGGATGGCTCTTTATTTTTATTTGATTTTTATTTTACACTGAAATCTCATAGGTTGTTCCACCAACACCAGACACCTTCTTAACATTTGAGTGTCTCGCAGGACTGACAGGGGTCCCCTGGGAACTTGATGTTGAACCCAGCCTGGTTATTCCTTTTGGCTGTCCATTTATTTTACTGTGAGGTGTCTTCAGCTGCATGTCATCCCTGCATCAAAAGAAATATCAAAAGACACAATATTAGCGACCAAAGTGTGATAGTGGAATAGCTTCATTCAGGAAGAACAACAGGGATAGTTACCCTGAGTCCCAAAGTTGCAAAATATTCAACCATAGAAGTAACCTGGTTGAAGCCAATACACTTAATGAAAGGCCACTATAATGAGAGGATTAATTAACTTTTAGATCAGTTTATCAGACCCCAATAATATTTTTTTGTTTAATCATTTACTTAAATGTTTTGTTGATCCAAACTAATTGCACAAGAATTTGGGGGAGGCAGGAGGGGTTAACTGTATCCACTGCCCACCTTAATCCAAACCATATTTTACTTACAACCAGAAATAAAATACTCAGAAAAAAACACTATCCAGCTAAATATTCACAGTTAAACAGAATTGCGTTGCTCATCCCTGAAAGACACAAGAGATGAAGCGTGAGACGTCATAACGACAGCAGACACAAACTGAGTCAAGTCGGGAAGCCCTCCAGGATGCCTGAATGGGAGACCATACTCCAGATGAACTCTTAAAATCATCTCCTTTCCTATCACTTACTTCCAGGGTACAGAGATAACTGTACCAAACTGTACATCTGCCTCACCAAATTGCTATAAAAGGCGTAATTCAGTGCTGAAACTGCCCTCAAGACCACGGTCTCCCTCCTGAAGCAAGACAGAAAGGAGCCAGAGGCATTAGGGGAAAGGGGAGAAGGGAAAGTTGTTGGCTGTGTGGCTAACAGAGAAACCGTGCTAGATTTGCAAGAGTTCTTTTGGCCCCTCACTAGGTAACAAACTTCAAAGTCATTAATCTATTTATTTATTAATCTAGATACTTGACTTGACTTCAGGAACCTCAGTAAAGAAGACCCTCTTCAGTGATAACTAATGTCTTCGGCTATCTTTAACACCAAATGGGGTCTTTGGATATTCCAATAGCTTGACCACTTTTGCCAGACTTTGTGTTTTTCAGTATTTCTTAGAGCTGAATTGGGGTAATCAATCAGGCTCTGCATTTTAAACACACACCTTATGTTAAAGCAGTGGGACCAACAAGCTGACAGTATAACGAGGAAACAGAGACTAAGAGAAGGCAGACAGCTTAGCATATTAGCAGCTTTCTACACGACAGCAGCATCTGACACATCCAGGGCTCAAACAGAGGGTGGGAAGGCACCAAAAACCCACAGTCTTCTCTCACTGAAATACACTCATTAGTCTAATAGGCATGAAGATGGGGAAAAGGAAGTCTGCCTGCTGAACGCCCTTT